TTTTTTTTTTTTTTTTTTTTTGCATAATTGCAATTTTCGGTGTCACGATTACGAATTTGTAAAATAACAGAGAATCCAGGTGGATCCACTCGGCGTCACAACGTCGCCTTCGCAGACACGTTCTCTGTTTACGTCTGTCCAGGTGGATCGAATCACCCTTAAAACTTCTACTCATCCTTTTTCACCGTTAAGTCTAAGTTAGTTCCATTATTCGAAGAACGTTTATTCATTCTACATTGCAAGACAATTGAAATATAATTTTCAACGCTTTTTTTTATTAAAAAGTTACGAAATCGAATTTACAATGTACAACGGGGAAAAGTGTTTGTGACAATACAAGCTTCTTAAATCTACTTTGATGTTTCTTCATATGAAAAAAAAAAAAACGGGCATTTTCAAAGAAGACTTTGTCTAAATTTTTTCTCATATTTTTTGTAGTCTTGGCCGTTTGCTCTTCAAGGTGGAAACGCTTCCATGTTGATGAACAACAGTTGCAACGTATCATCGTCAACGTCGTCTAGTTCTAATCAGTATCGTAGTCAGCAGGGAACCCATGAGATTCAGAATTTCCATCATTCTGGACATCAAAGCATGTCACTACGTCATAATCACGAGCCACAGCTTTCCTATTTCTAATGTATCTGTCAAGTGAAGGCATTACAGCTCCTTGATCGAGGAACAAAAGAAGAATGCGTTTTGTTTGCGAACGAAAGATTAATAATCGGAGAAATCTATTTATTGCAGAGTGCCTTATTACTCTATTTATTTATCTGCCCATTTATGTTTTAAGAACGATTATTAAAATACCCGTACATATCGTAATTATTTGTAACCAAAGCATAAGTACTAGTCCAATAAAGTATATCTATGAATTACAATTAATTAATTGCTTATTTTCAGAGCTTTTCCCATAACTGATTAACAAATACTTGCATAAGAACTTGCAATTAAGTCCAGAAATATTTGAAATGATAAAAACTGAGAAAATGTCGAAATTAGAATTAAATTAAATTAAATTAAATTAACGAGGAAGGATACTTTGTAAAAGTAACTTT